ATGTACACCAAGATGGGGGGTTTGGGATGTATGTAACTGCAGCAGGACCATGTGCCACAGAGATCTGTCCTGCCCCTGGCTGGTGTGGGGAGGGGAGGAGTATTTCATTTGCACCACAGGGTTTAAGTGGTCGTTATTAACTCCCTACTGGAGGTTGATTGTTGGATCAATATGTTTTAATTTTAGCCACGGGGTTGGAGTAGCAGAGGAAGGTTTCCAGCAGCAAAGGGAAGTTCTGGGCTGGTTTGCCTCTCACCCCCTGCTGCTGTTTTATTCATGCTCACTGTTCTCCCGAGGTGCAGCCCACGTTCTCTGCAGTTAATGCCAATATTTCAATGCACAGCAGACTAAAGCTGACCTGAGCAAAATCCCACTTCATTGGATCAGTCAAGAAATAAATGTCCATGTGCCCTGGTCCTGCACTGAAATGATTGCTTTGGTTTGATTGAATATCCCTCACTGCTTTGGTTTGAGTAGGTTTTTAAGTGAACCCTAGTGTCATGCAGGCTGAAGATGCTTCCCTTTCTCTCTCATCTGTCAAAATCATTTTCTAGAGTAACACAGAATATCAGAAGGGACTGACAGAATCAGACTTCTCTATAATTTATTCACAAGTTCTTGTACTAAAAATCATCTGACTTTCACAACAGTTGGCAGGATTTCTACAATGCGCGAAAGTGAAACTTGTCTTGGAGGTGTGTGATTCCAGGTTGTTTCAAGATTTCCAGATCTGAGATTGAGATAATCAGCTTTTGGGAAGGTGGAGAAGGTGAGTTTCCCATGTCTTAATGTGACCTTAGAAATCCAGAAAGGTCAGGCTGAATATCAGGGTATAATGCACGAATTTCTTCAGGCAGTGTAACAGATGACAGATGCTCATCTGTGAAAAACCTGAGAAATGTTTTTCAACTTGTTCCTTACATAAAGGCAGAGAATACAGATCATCCCTATCACATGTTTTCTTTTTTCTGTGGGAAATTTTCCTGTGCAGGGCACTGGCAGTGGCAGCTTGCACCTGAGTGTGTTGTCAGGCTGCTGCTGGAGGCATGAGGAGGTGGAGGGAGCCTGTGATTCCTTTTAGGTGATTCTTGTTTCTCTGGGGTATTCCTGTCCCACTCTGCCACTCCCTGGGAAATCTTGTTCCTTCTGCTCATGTTCTTGTGAATGCCATGATGCTCTTACAGCTCTGGACATGGGATTGGGAATGAGAGATGAGACAAGCTGTAAAGAAGGGAATGTCCATTTTTCCTGCTGCTGCTGGAAATAATGAGCCCTTATAATGTCTGGGGTTTTCCACCACAGATGTGTTCAAAAGGCTGAATTGCCTCTCCTTCTCCTTGGTCATCTCTCTTTTTCCTTTGTTTACCATGTCCTGTCCCATTTTGACTTTTTCAGCCACAGCACACAGCTTTTCCCAATTTTCCACCCCCACCCAATGCCTTTCTGAGTGCCCTGCCTCAGCTTCTCCAAGTCATGGCACAATTCCCCTTCCTCCCAGCATCATCTCCCTGTTTACTGAGTGGGGACAGGAGTCCTGTCCCTGGAAAGACCCTGGTGCAGCATCTTTCCATCCTTGGACAAATGGGATTGCAGCCTGTGCTAGCTGTCCAAAAGCAACTTTTAATGTCTGTTGGCATGGAGACAAGCACTTGAGCAATTGGCACTGACATACCTGCTTCCCTCGAGCAGGGAGAGGGAGCCTCCAGCTGGATCCACTTGCAACTATGGTCATATGGACCTTTCCCTGTGCTGTTCCTGCCCTCCCTGGCATCTCCCTGTGGGCATTGAGTGGGATGGGGGGTGAGTCTCCCTTGCAGGGAGGTGGTGTGGAGTGGCCCATCCACCTCATCCCTTCCTTGCCTCTGAGATCCTCCTAAGCCACAGGATTTGGCCTTTGTTCTTGGCACAGAGAATGCCTCCCTGGCTCCCTCAGCACTGATGTGCTCTGTGACTCTGTTCCTCCATGAACGGCTTTCCAGTCTAATCCTCGACAAATAACTTCCAGCAGCTCTTCCAGGATCTCTGTCTTTTCCCTCCAAAGTGAATAGTGTCCCTGAAGTGCCAGCAGTGACTGAAAATGAATGAATGAGCAGCTTCAGGTGGTTTCTGATTCACAGCCAAGCTGCAGCTCAGGGCTGCACTCTGGATTTCCATCACGTTTGCACTGTCAGCCTCACCCTGAGCCCAGCACTTTCTTTTCTCTGTGCTTCTGTTGAGGATTTATTCTGCACCCCCTTGTGTGTGTCTGAACTCTTCCATTGGCAGTTCTGTCTCTCCTGATAGAAGTCCTTGAGAAGGACAGGATTGATCTTGGATCTGCTGCAGCTGCACCAGCCATCCTCTGCAGCCTCTGCTCAAAACACCTCTGTAATTGCTCATGTGTCTTTGGGTTTCTGTGCTGCATTTTGAGCTGCTTAACACCTGAAAGTCCATCCATACACCGAGTGCTGCAGGCACAGGCACTGTTCCAGTGAGCTGTGCCTCTGGCTCCCTGGATTTGCAAGCCTCTGTTGCCTGTAGCACAAGTGAGGAGCTGTGAACCCTCTCCATGGGCCCCTGCATTGCCAGGACTCTTGGCAGACCCATCACCCCACAGCCATGTCTCAACTCTTTGGGTCAGATCCTGCCACACAGAAGAACCTTGCCTTGCAGAAGGCTGAGCTTGGAGAGCTTGAGACTCAAGGAGCCAGAGCACAGAGAGTGTGGGACTTGGAACCATCTTGGGAACAGCCTCTTCCCTCCACAGGCTGCTGAGAGGTATTAGGGGAGGTGAAACCTCATGGTGGGCACTGGAGGGCTGCTCTGACACCAGACAAGGTCTTTCCCTTGCAGTATGATGGTGGCTTTGTACATCCTTCCATGAGTGAGACCATCCCTGGCGCTGGAGTGATTCACAGCAACAAGGTCTGTGTCAGTAAATCAGTGCAGCACCAACAGTAGAAATGCTGTGCCTGGCACCTGAGCTGTGCCATCACCTGAGCTGTGCCTTCACCTGAGCTGTGCCATCACCTGAGCTGTGCCATCGCTTGAGCTGTGCCAGCACCTAAACTGCCCAGTGCTAAAGTTCCACCACTGAGACCTCTCAGCACAACGGGATCCTGCTCCTGCACTCCCAGCTGAGGTGCCCACAGGTGTCCCTTGACATCAGGGCTCTTTAAAGGCACCTGTATGGTGGTGACCAAAAATCCTGTTCCACTTCTTGGCATGCACGGAGCTGGTTTTCATGCTAATACATGTATGGCTGGGAGCAGGAGTTTCAGATCTCTGGGAGAGAGATGGGCCCTTCCCCTGCAGGAAGCCTTGATCCCTGATGGTCCAAGGTCTCCAGGAAAGCCCAAGGGCACAGACTTTAATATGGGGATGTTTTAGATTTATAAAAGGGATGTTTTAGAGAGGAAGCAAAGGTGGTAAAGGGATGGATATGAGTAATTAGGGGAAGAACACACAAGGGATAATATGGGAATATTGGGGTGGCCCTGGTGTAATCCAGCGGTGCTGTCCTGGGGGAATGAGCGCTCCCGGAGGAGCGGGAAGGGAGCCCAAACCCCGCCTCGATCTCATCCCGTACCGGGGGTGCCGGGGTTACTGGGGGTGCCGGGAGTACCGGCGTTACCGAGGGTACCAGAGGTGCTGGGGGTACCGGAGACCGACTCCGCAGGTTCTGTCTGGAGCCGCCAGGGGGCGCCGCGCCCCAGAGGCGCGCTCGGAGCCCGGGTCGGGTTCTCCTTTTCGGGGGAGAGAGGGGCAGTGAGATAACCGGGGCTGTGAGGGCTAACCGGGGATGTGCGGCATAACCGGGGCTGTGCGGAAAAAACAGGACACTGAGGGGGGAGCAGGGTTCTGTGGGGGAGCGGGGCTGTGCGGGACAGTGGGGGGTATATGGGGTAGTTGGTGCTGTGCAAGGGGGGCCGTGCGTGGTGTGTGGCACAGTGCGCAGTGAGGGGGGCTGTGAGGGGTGAGCGGGTGAGCGGAGCCATGCGCGGTGTGTGGAGTGCTGTGTGGGGTGCTGTGTGGGGTGCTGTGTGAGGTGTGCGGGTCATGAGGCGTGAGTAGCGGTGTATGCAGGGTGAGCTGCGTTGGATTTGGCCGTAACACCCGCGGGGGAGACCCCAGCCTTTGCACCAGGATACCCCAGCCCCGGGCACCCCAGGGATGCTGGACACTGTCGGACTGCAGGAACCGTGGCCCCGCGGCTGGATGCGACGGCCCCAGGACCTGCAGGGACCTGCAGGCCCCGGCTGTGGGAGATCCCGCAAACTGGGATCCCGCAATGTCTGTCTGAGCCCTGCTGGCACTTCTGCTCCCTGCGGGCCTAGTTTTGGGGTCCTCAGGATGGATCCCCCAACATGCCCTGCTTGTCCCCAGGCTGGGGGGCAGAGCCAGCCCGTCCTGTTGGTGCCACCAAACCTCGCTGTCTGCAGGAGCCCCAGCACCACTGCCACCGCCCCGGGGACACCCAGGGGTGACCCTGCTCTTGGGGCTGCCCTGCTGTGCATCCCTCCACACCCTTAAGAGCACCGGGATGTGGTGTCCCACAGGTATGACCTCCCCAGGTGTGACCCCTCCCGATGTTATCCCCAGATGTCACTGCCTCTTGTGGCCCCCCGCAAGTGTGACGTCCTTTGGGTGTGACCCGCAGCTGCGACCTTCTCGCGTGGACCCTTCCCAGCGAGACCCCTTCCCATAGACGTGACTCCCCCACGTCTGAGGTCCCCTGGGTGTGTGACCCGCAGCTGTGATATCTCATTTTCCCCCAGGCGCGACCCCCCCCCCCCCCCCCCCCCCGCTGACATCCCCTTGTCACAACCGTGACCTTGCCATCTGTGCCATCCCCTCCTCCGGTGGGCTCCCCGCGATGTGAGACCCCGCACGCCGCCTCCCCTCAGTCTGGCTGAGATGTGAGTGTCCCTGTGCCAGGTCCCCCTGCCGGTCCCCCCCGCCACGGCCGGGTCCCCGCGGTGTCCCCCGCCCCTCTCCGCAGCGCCGCACGCATGCTCGGCGCCCGCCCCTCCCCGCGCTCTGCCCGTTCCCAGCGGCAGCGGGGCAAGGATGAAGGACCGGACCGGGGAGCTGCGTGCGGTGAGTGCGGGGCGCACCCGGGGCTTAGGGGGATGCGGGCAGCCCTCTGCTCCCATCGGGCACCGCCCGAAGCCGGCTGGAACCCCCTCCCTGCGCGGGGGCCGCCCTGCCCTGAGCGGCGGCGGCGAGGGGGCTGGGCGGGGGCTGGCGGCAGGGGATGAGCCCCCCGGACACGGCCGGGATGTCGGGATTAGGGGTGGGGGGGTTCCCCGGGCTGCGCCGTCCGCCCGCCGCGCACCGCTGCGGTTCTGCCCGGCTTCGGGCGCTGCGAGCGGTGATCTGCGCGGTGCCGGGGCCGCGGCGGCGGAGCAGCATCGCCGCTGGGAGGAGCGGATACGGACGTGTGTTTGTAGCGGTGCGGGCGGGGGCTGCCCGCGGGGCCGTGCCGTGCCGTGCCGTGCTCCCCGGGACCGTGCCGTGCCGTGCCGTGCTCCCCGGGACCGTGCCGCGCCCGCTCCCCTCCCGTTTTGCGTGCTCATCCTCCGGCGCAGCCGCTGCGGCGGGGCCGGGGGGCGCCTGCACCGCGCTGACCCCGGCGCCGTGACCCGGCCTGGCGGGGAGGCCTCGGGCTCCGTGTGCGGCCGGGGCCGGCCCTGTGCCCCGCGGAGGCCCCGAGGCCCCCGAGCCCGGGCCGCGGGCGGTGGGAGGCGGCGGCTGCGCGCACGGAGCATCGGTGGAAGGAGCCCCCGGTGTCCCCGGTGTCCATGGCCGGGCCCCTGCGGCACTCTCGGGGCTGCTGCCCACGCTGGGGCCGAGCCCTGGGCACAGCGGCAGTGGCCGGAGGGGCAGAGCCCGAAATCCCGGGGCGCTCCTCCAGCCCCCGCCCCGTACCACCCCCGGTCCTCCCGCTAGTGCTTTTTCTTGTTTGTATGGTTTTTTCCTTTCTTTTATTTTATTTTATTTTATTTTTTTTTGTGGATTATTTTTTAAAATTACTTCACGATTGGCGCTCTAGAGCCGCCTGGGATTGCAGGGGGTCTGTCCCGTGGGGAGGACTCTGCCATAGAGCGAGGGGCAGTGGGCACCACCGTGGTGCCCAGTCTGGTGGGGCATCAGAGCTGCCACCAGCATCACTTGGCTGCGAGTTTGGTTTGGTCTGATAAACACCCGGAGGATGGGGCTGGGGTGATGCCAGCGAGGGGCTGAGGGGTGATGGGCAGCTCTTGGGGCGATGAGCAGCTCTTGGGGTGACTGGGCAGCTCTGAATGCCCAGGGCTCGCTGTGGGTGCTGTGGATTCTGGAGGAGGAAGAGGCTCCCCCAAGAGCTGCCTCCCCACTCTGCCTGGAAAACACCCAAACATGGGGCTCTGTCTCCACCACCAGCACAGGCTGTGAAATGGGATTGGAAAGCAGGCTTTTTAATAATAATAGTAAAAAGAAGCCTCATGAATGTCCTTTTGGCAGCCGTTGCTGGCTGAGAAGTGATGCCATGGAGTATTTTAAAATCTCTCTGTTCCTTTAAATACGCCTCAAGAAAAATAAAATGTGTTTTCGCCTCGCTCCTGCTGCTGCTCCTTATTCATCAGCCTCATGGTGAGGGTGCAGCATTCTTCCCGGGGACTCCTGGGGATGGAGCAATGCTTTTGAGCATCCAGTTACCCCGAATATGAGTGGGTGCCCCCTGGCAGCACTGCAGTGAGTGAGGCAGCGTGGATTTACACCCTTGGCGCTGGCAGACACCAGGGAGGAGTGAGATGCTGCAGTGGACACAGTCAGGAGTGTTTGAACTTGTATCCTCTCTGCTCTGCCTCATTAATAGCCTGGGTTGGTTCCTCCCATGTTAATACAGTGTTTAAATTCTGCCAGGGATGATAAAAAGGAAGGATTAATTAAAAAAGAGCTGGCATTGTTGGAGCAGAGGAGGGGATGCAGGGCGGTCACTGCTCTACAGAACAGCAACTCCATGTCTTTATGGGATTTTTAAAATGGTACTTGATATTCAAAATGCTAATCCCAGTTCTTTCCTGAGCCTCGGCTCTGGTTTGGATCAGACTTGCTGGAGCTTATTCAGTGCCCTTGTGGGAGTAGTGCCCCCAGTTCTGCTCTGGAGCAGGGATGGGAAATTTAACTTACAGATAAAACATGTCCTCTTGTGGAAGGAGAGTTGCTGACGATGGGCTGTGCAGGATGCCTTGGATGAGGCTGAGCAGAGCTTTGTTTACAGCTGTTTCTGTGCAGGTGTCACAGCTCTGGCTCTCAGTGGTGTTTCCTGCCCATCTGGGGTGAATCTGGGGCTGCTCCCATTCCCCAGCACCCCCAGAAGCAGCCCTGGTGAGGTGGTGTGTGCATGCAGGGCTGTGAGAGTCCTGTGGTGCTGCGTCGTGCCATAGAGCTGACAGCTCAGTCTGAGTGAGGCACTGGGATTTCCAGGATGTGACACAGGTCCAAATGGTAAAATAATTATGAATGGTGTTAGAGAGTGGGAGGAAGCAAGGGAGATGTGCCAGTGTTATAGGATCACAGAGTGGTTTAGGTTGGAAGGAACCATCCAGTTCCAGCCCCCAGCCATGGGCAGGGCCCATTTTTTGGGGTGCACTTTCTCCCTGTGCCTGTTGTTCATCTCCACAGCTGATTTTGTGTGCATTTCTCCAGTGATGTTTGTGTGTTTGTGCCGTGCCACTGCCCTTCCCAGCTGGCTGAATCCTCACTCCTGACAGCCAAGTCCCTGCTCCCAGCGCTGCCTCCTGCCAGTGGGAGTAGTGGGAGATGGGAGTTAAAAATAAAAGGGGAGAGGAAGCGAGGTGGGCTCCTGGTCTGTGGATGTGCCCTGTCCCCTCCTGTGGCAGTGAAATCTGCAGCAGTGCCCCAGGACTCACAGCCTGGCCTCTCTCCATCCCTTCCTCTTCACTCCATCCTGTTCCTACCGAGGCTTTCTCTCCTGGGGGCAGGAATGTGAAGTCGAGCACAGTTGCTGTTTGCAGAGGTCAGGTCTTGTGTGACTCCATCTTTTCCAGAACCCCCCGGCTGCAGAAGTCCCTACAGACCTTGCAGATGAATACATTCACTGGTTCAGATGCCATCTTCCTTTCCCTTGTTAACCCTTTTCATTGCCATAAGTGCTCTTGAGCTCTTCTGTTCATCCAGAAGGGTCACACGTGAATAATTCAGCTGTCCTGTGTCCCTGCCATTGGGAGTGGGGCTGGCACATGGCAGGTGGCAGCCGGTGGCTGTGTCCCCAGCTCTGCCTCAGCCTGAGGGCTTTAGCATCACTGAAATGTTGGAATTTGGGGGTGGGGAGGAGCAGAGCTGCCCTGGCAGGTCACACATCATGGCTGCCCTTGGAGCATTCTGATCCCACAAGCATTGAGGCAGGGAAGCTGCTGTGCCTGCTCCTGTGGGGTCCTGGAGCAGGGATGAGATGCTGCTGGACCTTCACTGCTGGGGGCAGCTGGGCAGCTGGGCAAGGAGGAAGGTGACAGAGTGATGTAGATGAGCCCTGCATGCTCCTGTGTAGGGTGTTCCTGCATGCTCCAGTGTGAGATGTTCTTGTGCCCCTTCATGGTCCTGTGTGGGATCTTCTTGTGTTCCTACGTGATCCTGTGTGTGTGTGAGATGTTCTTGTGCTCCCACATGCTCCTGTTAGATGTTCTTGTGTTCCTACATGCTCCTCTAAGATGTTCTTGTGTTCCTACATGCTCCTGTTAGATGTTCTTGTGTTCCCACATGCTCCTGTGTGGGATCTTCTTGGTGTTCCTACATGTTCCTGTGCGAGGTGTTCTTGTGCTCCTCCATGCTCCTGTGTGAGATGTTCTCATGTTCCTACATGCTCCTGTGTGAGGTGTTCTTGTGTTCCTGCATGCTCCTGTGTGAGATTTTGAGATGTTCTCGTGTTCCTCCATGCTCCTGTGAGATGTTCTAGTGTTCCTACGTGCTCCTGTGAGGGATATTCTTGTGTTCCTACATGCTCCTCTGAGGGATGTTCTTGTGTTCCTCCATGCTCTTGTGTTCCTACATGCTCCTGTATGGGATATTCTTGTGTTCCCCAGCATTGAGGGGTCCTGGGTGTCCCTGTGCCACAGGGACACTGTTCTCAGCAGTGGGTGCACACCATGGTAGGACAAGCTAAAAACTGGGAAAACCTTCTGTGCTTTAGACATAGCTGCAGGCAAAGCCCAGGCTCTAGGTCACTCTGGGTGGTGTGTCTTGTCCCCAGCCTGGGGTGATGGACAGGGTTTGAGGGACAGACAGAGCTCAGAGGGGACACTGAGCCCCAGGGTCCCTTGGTATGTGCTGGGGAGCTTCAGGTCTGGTCCATGGGAGTTCAGAGGTCCCACTGAAATCAACTTAAACACAGGAATACACTTGCCCCACTGGGACCTGGTGTCAATGTGTGGGCACCAGAGAGTGATAAGAGTGCTGATAAGTGCAGCCAGATACATCAGCTGTGCCCTGGGTGTCTGAGAGGAGGGAGCCAAAAGGGCTCAGTCTCATTCCCACTGTTTTAATTCCAGTGTCTTTGTGTGTGAGCTGCTCGGAAGCTGTACAAATGTTTGTTTTGCCATGTATCTCCCCATTAACGAGATTTCTCAGGAAATATGCAAAATTATCACTACAGGCAGAACATGTACAGTAAGGCTCATTAAGCTAAGTACTGTGATAAATTGCTTCTTCCATAAAATTATGTATATTAGCAAAAAAGGAGGAGAGTGAGCCCAGGTGGAAGGGCAGGAGGACAGAGTGTGTGGGATTGTGGTGGCTCCAGGTGACCTGGGCACACCTGCCTCAGGAGAGTGTCCTTGCACCATGGGATGATCCTGCAGGAGATGTGGGGAGGGGAGGGCAGGCAGAGGACAGCAGGGGAAATGGAGATGGAGCAGTGCTGTGTCAGGAGCAGAGCAGGCACAGAGCCAGAGAGGTTCTTTGCTCAGGGAAAACGTGAAACCAGGCAACTGTGGAAGCACAAGGAGTAGAAAGTTTTGCTGAACTGAGAGAAAAGAAGAGAGCAGGGGGAAAATGTCACAGGCTGCTTGTACCTCTGCACCTCTGCCTGTGCCACTGCC